ATAATGATTGAGAATTAAACTCAGGATTTCCTGACTCCAAGTCTGATCCTTTATCAACTATATCACCTAAATGGTTTCTAATTAAAGATCTCCATTGAGGGCAGTCCTATTGTCTTCCCACAAAATCCTCTTCTGGAGAGCTCTTTCTGTTATTAAGTTTTTCTTACATCAAGCCTAAATCTGCCTCCTTGCAACTTCTACTCATTGTCTCTGGTTCTGCTTTCTAGGGACAAAAGGAACACGTGCAATTTCTCTTCCACAAATACTTGAACATAGCCATCGTGTTCCCATTCTTAGTCTATTTTTCTCCAGTCTCAACCTCACCAGTTCCTTTAACTGATCCTCCTTCAACATGGAATTGAGGTTCTTCACCATCCTGGTTGCTCTAGAGACCCTGGGTGCATCAATTAACCTCTATGGGTCTCAGTTTCCTTATCTGTAAAATGAGAGGGTTGGCATAAATAATATCTAAGGTTCCTGTTTGAAATTGATGATTCTATAAGATTATATTTGTACAATGAGCCTCAATTTCCAAGTATGAATTGGAATTTCATTACTCTATGTGCTACTTTCTGAAGAAATCTTGTCTTGCCTCTTATCCTCAAGTGTTAATGGGTGAAGATGTCAAGAAGAATCAGAAAATTCAAGAAATGAAACTTGGAACCCATGTATTAAATATAAGTTAGAAGCACAAAAATAACATGAAGCTAATGACCAAGTTAGCCACAATATTGATCTTCAATTAATCCACAACAATTAATCAAGGGCTTACAATGTATCAGGCATTGTATTGGGGCCAGAAAGGAAAAAAAAACATTCTGCCACTGGAAACTTACATTCTAATGTAGGTGATAACATGTACATAGGGTAGCTAGGTGGCTCAGTGGATAGAGTGCTGGGTGTGGAGTCAGGAAGACTCCTCTTCCTGAGTTCAAATCTGACTTCAGACACTAACTTTGTGAGCCTGTTTGCCTCAGTTTCCTCATCTTTACAATGAGCTAGAGAAGGAAATGGCAAACCATTAGTATCTTTGACAAGAAAACTCCAAATGGGAAGAGGCAGACACAATTGAACAAAAACATGTATGTAGATAAGATACATACGAAGTAGATATGATGTAATCTTAGAAGTAAAAAAAAAACCTAGCAATTAGGAGGCCTCTGACAGAAGGTGGTTTGAGCTGAGTCTTGAAGGAAGCCAGAGATTCTAAAAGGTAGAAATGAAGATGGGCACCATTCTAGGCATAGGGAATGTGCAAAAGCTCAGAGATGGTAAATGAGGCATTGTGTGTGAGGTACAACAAGTAGAAACAGTATGGCTGGACTATAGAGTACATGGAGGGAAATGATGTATAAGGTGGGTAGGATAGATAGGGCCAGGTTGTAAAGAGTTTTAAAGGCCAAAGAAAGGCATTTATATTTCCATTTGATCATAGAGGTAATAAGGAATGCTGTTCAGGCCAATGAGAAGTAATAGGAGTCTAATGAATAGTGGGGTTACATGGTCAGACCTGAACTTTTGAAAAAATCACTTTGGCAACTGTGTGAAGGATCAAATAAAGTGAGAAGATATTTGAGATAGGTAGACCAATTAGGAGGCTCTTGAAATAGTTAAGGTAAAAGATGATGAGGGAATGAACTAACGTGAGGCTGTATAAGGAAGGAAGGGAACCTATTTGAGGGGGATGTTGTGGAGATAGAAGCAAGATCTGATAGCTAATCAGCTATGTAGGTTGAGTCAGAGTGAGTCCTTAAGGATGATGCCAAGGTTTCTTACCTGGATGACTGGAAGGATAATAATGCTCTTGTAATAAGAGATTTGAAAAAGTAGGTTTGGGGAAAAGGATAGTGAATTGTTTTGTACTCATTGAGTCTGAGATGCCTATGGGACATCAGGTTTGAAATGTCCAATAGGCAGTTTGTGATGTGGGCCTGGAACACAGCAAAGAGACTAGGGTTTCATATGTAGATCTGGAAAGTCATTTGCATAGAGATCATAACTAAACCCATTGGAACTGATGAGATCACCACATGAAGAAGTTGTTGTTCAGTTATGTCTAATTCTTTGTGACCCTATTTGGGGTGTTCTTGGCAAAGATACTAGAGTGGTTTACCATTTCCTTCTCCAGCTCTTTGTACAGATGAGAAAACTGAGGCAAACAAGGTTAAGTGACTTTCCTAGGGTCATACAGCTACTAAATATCTGAGGCAGGATTTGAATTCAGACCTTTCTGACTCCAGGCAGAATGCTCTATCCATTGTGCCACCTTAGTTGTCCAATGAAGGGGGTTCAGAGAGAAAATAGAAAAGAGCCCAGAAATAATCTTTGGGTATACTCCCAGTGGATGTGACATGGATGAAAATCTTTATCTCTTTTGCTGAATCTTCATTCATGTCACAGTGGGTGTCCTCCAAGGTTCTGTCAAGGACTCTTTTCTCTTTCCATACTATTTCTTAGTGATTTCCTCGGATCCCATGGATTTAACAACCCCAAAGTTTTATATTTAGACTCATTGCTGTAAATTCATAGACTGTGAAGCTGGGAGAGACCTTAGAAAGCTTATCGATTTTAGCCCACCTCCCCTTATTTTACAGACGTAGAGATTTCAGCTGCGAGAGATGACATTTATTGCAGTTGATCATGGAACAAAATAATAAGCAGAACTGGGATTAGAACTAGGTTCTCTTTGAGTCTCATACTATTGCTCTTTTTATAATTATTTTTAAAATTTGGTAGTTTATTTGACTGTTGGTATTTTGAGTACTGTTGTTTTTCTGAATGTTTTATTAGAACATACTTTTTTTCCCCTTAATCTTCAAAGGTTTGGTTTGCTATAGTCTTAAGTGTGATTTCCAATATATTTTTTCATGGAACCTATCTCTGATTTTATAACTGAAGTTGATGAGAAAATAGGATCTATTTTCTATAAATTTATTTTATAGCATACTTTGCAAAATAGTATTGCCTCTCTTCTGTTAAGTGAAGAATAACTACTTCACACAAAATTTAATGATGATGTTATGTTGACCTGCTTCCATAGATAGTGAAATGTCATTCAATCTCTAGTCACTCTTAGGGGAATATTCTCAACACTGGCTGTTGACTTATTTGTTGTGAATGACATGTCTGAACAGCAAACTTAAATTTTACTTTTTCAATCAGACCTTATCAAGGTTTGCAAATGCATTGCCATAGCATCCACCCACTCCTCCATTCCCAGCTCCAGATGTTGCATCTCACAGCAACAAATCTGCTTCATTTAAAGTGTATCAGATTAAGAGTAAGTAGCTACTTTTTTTCCCTCTCAGTCCCTCTCTCCCCTTCCCCACTGCCTTGGGATAAATTGGGAATCACCTCTTTTTTTTTTTTTGGTTCTTGGTGACTTGCCCAGGGTCACACAGCTATTAAGTGTGTCAAGGGTCTGAGACTGGATTTGAACTCAGGTCCTCCTGACCCCAAGGCAGGAGCTCTATCCACTGTGCCTCCTAGCTGCCCCTGAATAACCTCCAGACAATTGCAAAATTCTCAGAAATGAAACCTGACTGAACATAACCTCAAATTCTTGATTATTTAAAAGCCAATTATAATTTGGGGATTATGCAGATTTGTTAATGGTTTACTATTATTGCCTACCTAATACAGACATAAATCTAAATAAAAACTTAACTTTGGTACTTACTAGTAACTCTCAAATTATTGAGTAATGGAGAAAACTTAATTTATTGGATAGCATTAAGTTTTTGGATTTTCAATTTCAACAAGCCATTCTGGCTTTCCTCCATTTATTCAGATCATCAAGGGCTAGCTGTAAACAATGTTTATTAGGTAAGGAATACAATATATCTCCAGACAATTAACAGAATGGTTAGCAGGCCAGAAACATCAGGGGCAGAAAGGGAAAGGAAACTTGACCATCTATCATAGTTTAGTGAAATAAAATCTTTGTCTGTAATAAAAGTCTTGTTTGGGTGCATCACTACGTCTAACATAAATAATTTAGTCCAACTATTCAGAATGTGTTGTTTGTAAATCTTCATTTCTTCATAGGATGGAAGTGTGTCAGATAGTTACAGTGAAATCTCAATTTCCATAATGTATTTTCCAAGGAGTATTTGATCCAGAAGGATAAAATAAAATCATAATCTCTTACATAAGCTTTGACTTCAGCCTGAGGTAAAATGGTGAATTTACTAGTGCTTTTCGTACTTATTTAGAGATGTTCCAAGTTTTTAGGCCAGGTTTTCGTGCTAGATCTCCCATACCACCTACAAACAAGTCCAAGTGATAGGTGTCACACTTTAGCAACATAGAATTGTGCACTAAATATTTGCCGTGCAATGTTGTTTCCCACTTCTATAAATCTAGCTATGAAAAATGCAGTTTCATCCTTAACTGTTACCATAGCAACCTTACTGAGCTGGAGTGATAAAGCACCTTTGTGGTGGCTGCTTCTATTGAATTACAATGTAAATGTTGATGCCTCCCTGGGAAACATCAAATGACAACAAGGTGCTGGGGTGTTGTGGAGGGGCTGTGGGGAACACAGATCTAGTAGTGGTTTGCTGCTCTGGAATCCAAGTCTTCAACGTAGTAGTCACCCAGGGGCCCATAATGTTTTCTGTTTAACAGAATTTTTCCACTCCACCCCAAACCGACCAAACCCAAGAGTAAAATGATGGACACTTTTTGGTCTCTTCTGCATTTCAAGAACCTCAATGTAGTGCTTGAAGTTAATATTCTTTTTTGTCTAGTTTTCTTTCATCTTTTTTTTTGAAAGCATAAACTAACTATTTCTGTTTTCTGCCCCTGTCAATCAGCCCCTCTTATTGGGGCCTCCAGCTGTCTTGTGAATTGTTCTGCTCATTTGATCAGAGCTGGCCTAGGATACCTGAAGTCAGTATTATTAACTTTCTTTGTCTTTAGTTTGACCGACAATTCTACGAGTCCGCAAGTGCTGGCTGTTTTCTTCCGCGGCCTTAAGGAACAAGGGAAATGTAGCATGAAGGAGACTTGAAACGCCCCGACCCAATCACGTCTTCCTGAGGTTGCTCCAGAGCCCGGAGCTGCCACTGCCTCCCTGGCTGCGGCTACTGCTGCTGTTACTGTTCAGGTAAACTTTGGAGAGTTACCTGCTCTTGGAGAGGGGCCTTACCTGAGCGCCTATCTGCCAATGGCAGCTCACCTGAGGGCTCTCTGCAGCCAATCAGCGCGCAGCTCGTCCCTCAGGCTTGTACCCTTTAGTGAAAGAATTCGGCTCCTAGCGAGAAAGTTACCTGTGGCCGCCCAAGTCCGCCACTTTTCACCCGCTCTGTGCCTCCCCTTTGCCACCAGCGAGGAGAACCCAGCAGCACCCCGCCGCCTCCGAGCTCTTGCCACATGTGAGGGGGGCCCGCTCCTTATCCCACCTTTCCGGCTAGGTGAGGGAGCGAGCGAGGTAGAGTGGTTGAGGGGGAACGGAAAAGCAGAATTACCTGTACCTCTTGTTCTGCCATCTCGGGCGCTCGCACACACCTTCACCTGCACAGACTTGAAAGTCCAGTTTCGCCAGAGACTGAGGCACCAGGAAAAGGGGAGAGAGTTCATTGGATCAAACATGTCACAAGAGTCGGACAAGTAAGTGGATCACACGCTGCTGCTGCCGCCCCCGCCGCCGCCGCTGCTCCTACTACCCTGGGCTGATGGCAACTGGTTTGTCGTTTGGGGCTTTTATTGTGTGTTGTTGTGTTTGATTTTTCCCTCCTGTTGTGTGCATCCGGACCATTTCGGATTGTGTTTCTTCCCTGATGAGGGAAAAAGGATTAAAAAAAAGAAAAAAGCCACAAGAATAGGAAGGTTGAAGAACTCCTTTGGGCCTTGCTCACGCAACTAGTTTTTTACTTTCCTTTAAAAATGATTATTTTCCATTCCCTTAAAAATAATTAGACATTTGCAGGGTTGTTAGTGGTGGGACAGTGGTCTTTTCCCTGATTTGATAAACTCTCCTCGCCCCCTCCCCTCAAACTTTTTTTGGGGTGCCTTTTTCCCTTTGAAAGTTCAGTCGAGGTTCCTCGATTTTCCTGAAGGCCTTGCCACAAAAAGGGGTTCTTCGCTTTTGTGTGAGAGCAACAAAGAGCTTTTATATTGAAGCACAAACGGCCATCTTCCCCTCACCCTGAGTGTGTGTGTGTGTGTGTGTGTGTGTGCATTGTGCGCGTGAGCCCGCGTGCGTGAGTGCGTGCGTGTCTCACTCCGAAGCTGAGAGCAGTTTGGGGAGTCCAGCCTTCCCCCAGGGGGTGCTACGGGCTGGCGCCATCTCCTCCCCCACCTCTAAAATCTCCCTCTCTCCACCTCCTCCCCCCCTTCCCGCCCCCGCCCCAATTCCCATTATGATTTCCCTGTTTGCTTTGTGCCCTGGGAAAAGGGCCTTTCAAAAGTGGGAGGCATTGATTCCGGACAAGAACCTGCTTCCCAGCCTTGGCTGGTGGCATTGACCCTTATTCCCCTGGACGTCTTGTCAACACTAAATCACTAAAGTAAAGCATCTCCCCCCCATCCCCACCCCAAGTGTTCCTGCGGCCCAACTCCTAACACATAAACCTGCTGCCCAACTTAGGTCCCTGCTACTTTTTGACTATAGGTCAGGGGACCTTCAAAAATCAGGTGCTTGTGTTTGCTCTCTTTATTCAATATATTTGTTTTTTCGTGAAAGTCCCTCCTGCTTTTACAAATGGAAATCTGTTTCAGAGAGTTAGAAGACTCCAAGGAAGTGAATCAGGTGTATTATTATCAAGAACAATAAATATCTTTTAAAGCCAGGAGTTGAAATGCACGTCTGCTTCGCAGAAAATTGAAAAAAAAAATGGCTCTTGTGACACTGCGAGGGTGGAGGGAGTGGGTGGGTGGGGCAGCTGGCGGGGTGGGGGTTAGGACAGCCTGTAACTAACCGAGACTTTTACTAAGAAGTCCCGGGGGCCTTTAGTTGGGTTCCTGTGCGGTCGACGACCCAGCACACTGTGACTTCTGCGTTGTGCTGGTCGCAGCAGCCTCTCCCAAGCCGGCCTGTTCCCCGCCCTCTCTTGAGGCTTTGTGATGGGAGGGGGGAGGGGGAAGCTGGAAAGAAAGGGAACTGGAGGTTGGTACTTGTACATTTCATTGGCTTGGGTGGCAGCTCTCCCCTCCCCACTGACTCCCCAACTAGGAATGATCCTCATCCAATTGGAAATGCGTCGGGGTTCTTTTTTTTTTTTTTGCTTTTGCTTTCGCTGGTAACTTTACCCCAGAGTTGTGGCTGAAGCGGAGACGGGGCCAAGCAGCCTAGAGCCTGGAGGCAGCCAGCTGCCTGCACCTCTTTGGAAGAATTTTGCCGGGGGCCCCACTCTTGCTTAGGGACCCTGGAGAGAGGAGAGGTTGGGTGGGGGTGCAGGGAGAGTTCCAAGGAGAGAATTGAAAGAGTTTGAGCCAGGACTTTCTATGGGGATGGTGACCTCACCTCAGGACGTATGCACAATCTTGTAGTTGTAATTGTCGTCATCGACGTGATCCGCAAGGACTGAATATTGATAATATCTATTACATTTATAGCACAAATATATTGGGCGCCAAAGACAGAGTTATTGCAGCTGCAGGTAAATAGTGGGCGTGTTGATTGGTGTGTATGTATGGAAATGGACATGACCTGAAACTAGTTCTTTCTTAGCAGCTTTTAGGGAAATACCAGTTTCATGCAGATGAGTGTAGTTTTTCCTGGATTTCAGAACTTCTAGTCCGGGATCAAAATGCTAAGATTGTGTGTGTGTGTGTAAAATGTTTGCCAACATGTGGTAGGAAGACTTCCACTGTATACATCTTTAGTATTTTATAATATGGTAGTTCTTTATTTGTGTGGTACAAGGACCATTTAGCTTAGCAGCTTAGTTTTATTTGTTATGTAGCGTGAGTCAGAGAAATTCCCTAATGAAAACATTTTAACTTTATTCCAACAAGTTATGTTCGATCCCAGCAAGGACTATTTGTTTACTGTTCAAAACAAATTTTGAGCTTTAACGATTGGCTTTTCAGTATGTTTTAATATTTTAATTTTCAATGGAATTCAAATCAATTCAACACACCTTTATTAAGCATACAGTATGTGCAAGACCTTTGCAGGGCCTTGGTACAGTGATAATTTCTAATTCTTTTCTGTCTGGAGAAAATTAATCGTGCAGACAATATTGCAAGAAGACAAACCAATAAACCATGTTATCCATACACGTGTTTCTGAACAGGAATTGAGAAAAACTTTTCAAAGCCAACAGCAAAGTAACTTTTCTTTATAATATAATCTTTTTTTATTATTATTAAATACATGGAGAATGCTCCAAAGTAGGCCTATGTACCTTTGGGGAGAGAGGCAGTTTCAGAGACTGTACACAAGGCTCAGTTCCAATTTTACCCTTTTCCTTCAATAGGGCTTCACTGATTTCCCAGTTAGTAGTGGGTCCTTCTCCCCTTTGCCCCTCTCCCCTCCCAAATCACTGGGTCTCAACTGTATACTATACTTGGAGAGAAAGCATGGAAAGGGGGAAATAAGCATTTCTATAACCCCTACTATGTGCCAGGTACTTTTTATAAATATTATTTCATTTGATTCTCACAACAGCCTTGGGAGGTAGGTGCTATTATTATCTTCATTTTAAAGTTGAGTAAACTGAGGCAAAGTGACTTGTCTAGGATCACACAGCTAGTAAGTGTCTGAGGCTGGATTTGAATTCAGGTCTTCTTGACTCTAAGTCCAGGCCTCTATCATCCAGGAGGCTGTGAGCTGTCTCTGGTGTGGTGGATAGCATGGTGTACAGGACAGTGAGCCAGTCTCTGAGCCAGGAATCAAGTCCTGTCTCTGATACATCAAGTCCTGGATACATGACTGTCAATGAACCATTTAACCTCTTCCTTCTCCAAATGAGTCTCTGAAGCTAAGTTGTTGTGAAGGTGGTAACCTGTCTTGGTAGAGAGCCTTCCTTATCCAGAAGTTCCCTATAAGAAATCACAGGTCCAAATTCTATTCCTGTGAACCTGTTAACAACGCTCTAGTTTGATTAAGTTCTATGAGAAGAGAAACTGAATCACCTTTGAAAGGTGATTTGAAAGGCAGGCACTTAAATTCTTGTTGATTAACTGATATTTGCTCAAAACCTATGGAAATGTAGGTAGATTTTGGATATCACAGTAGAAAACACTGTTAGGAAACTTGTATTGAAGTAACTTAACTTCTTTATGGTTATAGACTTCAGATTGCAACATTCTGTTTTTATACTCTGCAGTGCTGATGCTATCACTAATAAAACAGTATTTTGAGGACATTTTGTCTTAGTACACTTTCAAATATTTTCTACTGCCTCTGTACAAGTTTTTTTTTTAATCGAACTTTTATGTGGCAATTGCAGCAAGGCAGTAATTGGTTCAGAAATGCTCATTAAAATTTTTAAAAATTTGTTTTAAACTTAGTATTCAAATTCCAATGGATCTCCTAGTTTATGTGAATATTACCTCCAATAATGCAGTTTGAAATCCATTCATATTTATCCATTGTATTCAAATCATGTCTATTTTCTACTGTAAAATCTCCAGGTGGAGAGGAGCATCTGCCCATTGAGGTGGGGACCCTCCTTATGTTGCCCGGACATAGCATGAATACCATTCTGGTTGACCTTTTTTGATCCATTACTCTTGCCTTGTGAGTTATGTATCCTTTCTTCTCTGTTGACATTGTTTACTGGGCTTTACCCTGAATAATTCCAGCCTGGTCATGCCTTCTCTTTTGCCCTTTGGGTGATCAAGTGTAGTTTATAAAATGAATAAATGTCAGTGGAAACAAATACATAAGCAAGCCCTCCCCGCATCAAAGTAAAAAAAAAAAAACCAAACAAACAAACAAAAAAAACCCAGACCCAAACTAGTGTATGTACACAAACTTTCATAATTAGAAACACTTCAATTAAAAAAAATATATTCGTTCTCAGAAGTAGCTAGTGGAATTTAGTGAGTGGAAATCTGGTCTTGGAGTCAGGAAGACCTGGGTTCAGTCCAGTCTCTAGTTATGTGACCTTGGGTAAGTCACTCAATTTATCAGTGCCCCAGGCAACTTTGTAAGGCCATAAATTGCAGAGCAGTTACCAATCTGCATTCATACTGGGAGTTTACTCATGGGGAGTTCCCTGCACTAGTGGTGTCAAACTCAAACACGAACAGTGGCCATTAACCTATATGTACATAAAGATCCCTGCCTGCCACATATTAACTTAGAAAACCACATATTAACAGTATTTTGTTCTTTTGTATTTTTATTTTGTTAAATATTTCCCAATTACATTTTAATCTGGTTGGGATAATGTTTGACACTTTTCCTTACACTAATGAAATAATTTCTGACCAAAGAATGCTTCATGTTTTACATACATGGTACATCCTTGCTTGTATTACACATCTAATCATTCAAAGTATTTTTCTGTGTGGTTTCTTAATTTTCATCTTTACACATATTTATAAATACATTATTGTAAATTTAAGAGATAAAATGTAGTAAAAGGTTTTGTTTGAAGCAATTTTTTATTCAACAGATATTTGTTAAATACTTTCTTTGAGGAAGGCACTGTACT